TGTAGGATTGAAGTATGAACACTCAACAAAAACCAAATTTATAAATAAATATGCGAATCTGGTGAAAACATGGATTTTATTGCAATATCTGTGGAAGTAAAGGGATAATGAGAATGAGAAGTTTGGAGGAAAATGTGGGGAATGGTTAATTGTCTACCTGCTTTGTTTTTATGACTTCTGAGGGAAATGTGGAGCAAAATGGGAAAATTACACTTTCAATCCCTCAAGTTTTCATCAATTTTACATTTGGTCCTTCATGTTTCAGTAATTTAACACTTTTGGTCATTTCCGTCATTTTACCGTTAACTCGCAGTGGTGGGCACACGCTTGATTCCGTTAGTAATAACGAAAAGTTGACGGAAATAACTAAAAGTGTTGAATTTTTAAAATATGAGGGACCAAATGTATTTTTTGTGAACATGGAGGGACAAATGTGAAATTTGTGCAAACTTGAGGGATGAAAAATGTATTTTTCGCGGAGGAAAATTTATATATATATATATATATATTGTTTTTATAACTAACAGAAAATATTTCCAGTTAGTAACTTAATAATTCGTTAAATTTATAAAAATAGTATATATAAATTATTAACTTTTTGATGCATAGTACATTTTTTTTACCTTGTTGAAATTAATGCCAAGCTGTGAATCTCATTTCTTAGTTTTGTTAACGTAGTAATAACTTGTGTTTGGTGTTTTCTTATAATTAGTTAAACAAATTAAACTAAATCATCATTCATCTATGGTGCACGAAAACTTCTATACACACGCGTTTTCACGTTTCGAAACGTTTTGGGAGCGTTTCTGCAGGTAATAATGAAAAAATGGAAATGCATACGCCCATCATCCAAAGCTCATTTTAAAAAAACTCGGAATTGCGCTTAAAAAGTTCGTTCTTAAACCTTATGTCTTTTTTCACTTATAGTGGTCTTTTAATTTTTTTTTTGTAGATGTTGATTCCATACTACCCAAATGTAATTTGTGAAATGATAATTCTGATTAAAACTTGTAAATTATATATAATTTATAGATCCAAGTATGTAATTGACAATAAGTCAAACATAATAATATTTTTTTTAGGAATCCATGGATGTACCCCTAAATTTTTAATATTTTCACGTTTCCCCCACTTTCATGTACCCAACTTTTTGGAAGATGGGATTTCCCGGTATCCATGTGACGCCCGCCTTCTATGAAGCGTTTGTCAAATTACTCTATGAAATTACCTGGTCTATTTTTTTTCTTTTTAATAATACTAACAAACTATAGTTCACAAAAATACGTACGATTTATTTATCAACAACCTCACTTCTAGCAAGGTAAAGTACAAAGGTTCCGGACATTTACAACAGCAGCTTCTAGCTTATGAGATTACAATACTATAACATAAATAAGTTCAAACGCTGATATTTATAATACAAGACAACGATTATTCTTAACTTAATCGAACCATTATATTACAAATATAAACAAGGTAACTACTCGGACGAGAAATCCTCTGATTCGTTCAAGCTGCACCTCTCTGAGAATATGACAGAATAAAGTAGAGGGATAAGTCATAGAAGACTTAGTGAGGTGAAATATAAGAATAACGAGTTACGACATGAACTGAGAGAAAGTATGATGATCGAACCAATTGGTGATATCGGAAAATAGAAGCGATTAAAGATTATCCATCGATTGGAAATTCAAGAATAATAGTAAGGATGATCAATCAATTTTCCGATCAATAGAGATAAGAATACACCTACCTTGTGACTCCCGTAGCCGTTTACTACCTTATTCACCGAGCAGGGAATGACCCTGTAATGCAATGTGGCATGCCCGGGCGCATGCCGGTTTAGCCCGAAACCCAACTAACCTCCAGTTGTGTACGGGTCTAAACCTATGTGGGTACTGTTGGAGAGACTACCCACCGTCGGCCCGATACGGCCCAGCGGTCACCTCCAAACAGCCCCGGGCCCATCAATATCCATTGTCCTTGAGGCGTCCCAAAAGGACTTTATCGATCATATAAGAAGACCATATTATTCTGATTATTTCAGGATTTCAAAGACAAAAGAATTCCAAAGAAATGGGATCAAGTGAAAGGTTTCAAAGAGGGCTCGATGTTTCAAGATGTGAAGTTTAGATAATTGAATAAAACTTGAAGGAAAACGATCGGCTTCAAAGAATTTCATACCGATCACTCAATAAGTACTATTCGAAGGAAATGGAAATCAAAGAGTTGAATACTCGATAAGATAGCATTTCTCAAATAATCTCAAGCTCAACATCATCCAATCAATCTCAAATAATGATAATCAAATGATAATGAATAGATCAATTCAATGAAAGGGAGCAAAATTCAAGTACTCGAGCGATACAATTACCCGAGTTTATCATATTCCCAGAAAAGGTCAAGCAAGAGAACCCTCATCTTGGTCCAATCAAGAGTACTCGTCGATCACGGTTCCTCGATCTCAAGACCTAAGCAATATTTAAACTATAAGACACCAAATTATTTATTAAAATGAAATAATATACACTCTACGATTCCTAGCTTTATATGTTCTTAAGGTCGAATAATTCACTTACCAATTCTAAATTAATCTAACCCCGTAACTAATATCAAAACTTACCACATAACCATCACGTTTATGTTAACAGGACGAAGACCAATAAAATATGTTCATATATGACGACTTTCTTAACATAATAATAAAACGTATGTGCTGCCACAGTTTATTCAAAAATTCATAACAAATTCCACGTTTATCCAAATTGCTCATATGATATGCCGAATGAAAGCTAACAAATAATACTACGAGTTCACAGAAGACTTCGACCCCTGATTCTGAACCAAAAATAGCAGAATTTCCAAAAACCAGCATGTAACAGAACTGTTGAACATTGAAAATTCATTTCTGTTACAACTTATCTGAAAATTAATAACATGCTATACATTTCTCGAAACAGAACAAATGATATACCAAATTAAAGCCAAGAACAATATCTACAAGTTCAATGAAGAAAACATTCTCAAATTATGAGCACAACATAGCTAAAACAGCCCCCGAAAAGGTTTATAAAAACTGCCGGTATTTACAAAAATCCTTTTTCTGGCAGTATTTTTGAAAAATCGTAATAATTCGAAATGTTATCCAAATTTAACAAATAGTATATGAAATCGAACATAACGGCTTCATCTACAAATCGACAGAACACATTGAACTCAAATTATGAATCAAATATACAGAAAACAGCCCCAAAAGAATAATCATACGAGCTGCCAGAATTGACAGCTTTCAACGCCCATATTCCTCCGTTCAAAAAGCCTATAGAACTCAATCATATGGAACGAGCTTCAACATATAATTAACGTACTCCAGAAAATCTATGATGTTTGGGAAGAAACGATTTTAAAATTCGAATTCCAAAACTCCCAAATTCTGTTCCGAAAATCAGAGTAACAACTACAAGTTTTATTTTTGAAAATCTTTGAAGCTACTGTAGTGTTAAAATCAGTTTCAACAAGGGTTCTAAAATTGGGGAAAATTAATAATTCTAACAATTCATCCTATTCTACAATTTTCACGAAGAAACAAAATCGAAATTCGAAGCCAAAATACCTCAAATCGGATTATGAAATTAACAGTAGGCAATCGTCATCAAATCAAAGGGGTCGGAATCTCCACCGAACTAAAGCCTGTAAAACCCCGCTCGATGAAACTTCACCGGGAAGGTCGTCAAGTCACCATCTTTTCTTCGATGATTGAATGGTTAGGTCGGATGAAGATGAAGGGGGAAGATGACTCTGTCGAGTCTAATACGTGTCTTCTCCTAAAAATTTACTTAATCTTATAATTATCCTCTTAAACGTCATATCTTTGCTGCCTAAGAGCAACTCCAATGGAGTTATTAAATGGGTTATCAAAATCATTAACTACCATTTTGATAATTCAAATTAGAAATTTTCCACTCCAATGGAGTTATCAAATGGGTTTCTATTTTGATATTTTAATTTTTGGGATGTAAAAATACATCCGGAAGAAATAATGCCAATTAGAAGTTACACAACTTAACTACCTAAATAGTCAATTAGAAACTGACATGTGTTAATTAAAATTTAAAATCACATTATTTATTTTTAATTATCAACTATTTGATATCTATGGTTGGAGCAAATAAATTTAATTAGGTATCAAACTAAAATATAAAATATCAAATAAATATTTGATAATTCATTTTGATGTTTGTGGGTTGGAGTTGCTCTAAGTCTAAATATATTGAATCATTATCTGCCTTAACTATGCCTTAATACCATATCAGCCCTTGTAAATTACCTTATTTATTCTTAGTCCCCAACTTTATATATCAACAACATCTAAGCCACATAATTTATACTAAATTTATTTTCTAGTATTTAAACTTCAATAATATACACACATACACATAATAGAATTTAAGGGGTGCTACAATCCATTCCCCCATTTCGCCGTATCAGCATTCCCGTGTCCGTGCTACGCAGTCATTCGTGAATAGATTAATCGAATAGTAAACAATAAGATTTAACAAGAACTTATTAACAAGAAACATGACATCAGAAAAATGCCTGAAGCAACGAATATATATATATTAATTTAATTTTGCGGAGTCACTGCAACAAGCTTAACCAACTTCGGCTCAAGAGCATCCTTAAGCCAGAGTTCGTATTGAAACGGTACACACTACGTTCATAAGCATGTTGTGGAAAATCGTATATGTTGAAGCTAAGCCCGTGGTTGTTCAAAAACGCATAGGTGAAAATGTAATTTTGAACAATAATTCTAAAAATTATTTCAAAAATTTCAATATTTTACTTCGTAAACTAAATTTAAATATCAGTATTAATATGTATTTTTTAATTATTATTATAGGTGACTAAATAAATTAATTTTCGCAAGCTCTGATTCGAAGAATTCCAATTTTGGAACAAGTTTTTTATTTCCATTTTCCAAATTGTGAATTCTCAATTTTCCCAAAAACAATTTGGAACAAAGCTGGAATTAGTTTTTAAATTATGAACAATAAGATCTTTTAACAAAAAGAAATATATACATGAAATATGAGCAGCAAATTATAAACTAAGGGTACGATGGTAATTGCAGGCCACTTGGTAAAGGCATTATTTGCATATAAAAGATCCACCATTGATTCGTAGATGATAGGATAAGCAAGCAGCTCCTTGATTGGTCGGCCTCAAAATCTTCATTACCAAAAGGAAATTCTCTTTCTCCGGTTGGAAAAGCAATTCACAGGGAAAATTAAAGCAAAAGAAATCATTTTCCCACCGCCGGTTCGGAAAACAAGCCGCCGGAAATGGCAGTGGCATCAACCGCCGGCAATTGCCTGAAAACGCCGGTAAACGGTCTGTTTCAATCAAACCCCCGGTTCGTAGCGAATTATGCTCCCCGGTTCATTGCCATGGCACCCAAGAAGAAGGTATATGCTAAATTATGCTAATAACTAGAAGAATATTCCATTTTGTTTCTTCTTTCCTTTTTTTTTTAGTTAATTTAACTTGATTTTTGAATATTTTCATTTCAGCTTGGTGTTACATACGTGTACTACTAATAAGGGAATTAATCAATATTAATTTAAAATAGGAAATTTTGTGTCAGTATTTTGAAAGGTTTAGTGAATTCTATGATACGGTAGAACCTCGATAAATTAATAATGTCGTTTAAATAATAGCTTTTTTTCTGGTCCGAACTCGCTAAAAATCTACTAAATTATTAGTTCGATAATTTAATATTTCGCTAAATTAATAGAATTTTGCTAGTCAGAACTATATTGATTGTACCGTTTTATTATATTCAATTTTTTTCAATTAGTTAGGGAGTGTTGTATTTATGTTTTTTTTTTTATAGTTAAAGTTATTTTTTATTGATTACTACGAAAAGAATAACTTGTGTTGAATTGAAACAAAAAAAAATGTTACATTAACCCAATTAATCAATAAATAAATAATTTAATTGCATTCATATATTCTTGAATTCGAGTTGCTTCGTCTGATATTTTGTTGTTTGCGTTTAAGGTGAACAAGTACGACGCGGGCTGGAAAAAGGAGTGGTTCGGGGCGGGAATATTCGTGGAGGGAAGCGAAGAGCTAGAAGTGGACGTATTCAAAAAGCTGGAGAAGCGAAAAGTTTTAAGCACAGTCGAAAAAGCCGGCCTTCTCTCAAAAGCCGAGGAATTCGGGGTCACATTATCTTCCATTGAAAAGCTGGGGCTTTTGTCGAAAGCCGAGGATCTTGGTCTGCTGAGCCTGCTGGAAACGGTGGCCGGTTTTTCGCCGCCCGCACTGGCTTCGGCTGCTCTTCCTTTGCTGGTGGCGGCGCTGGCGGTGTTTATCGTGGTTCCGGATGATACGGCGGTGCTGGTGGCGGCACAGACCGTGATTGGTGGGTTGCTTGGAGTTGGGGGTGTTGGGCTGTTTGTGGCCTCCATTGTTTTGGAGGGGTTACAAGAGGCTGATTGAGATTTTTTTAGTAAGAGACAAAATGTATTTATTTGATGTGTACTAGAATTGTGAGTACTTGTATTTTAAGTTACAAGTGGAAAAAAGTTGCATAAATTGTTTTATAAAATTTAAATTGCAGAATGAATGATTGACCCGTTTTAATTTGATTATGATGTTACATTTTATATCTATCTTATAATTTTAGGTGTTTTAATTTGATTATGATGTTACATTTTATATCTATCTTATAATTTTAGGTAAATAATGGGTACAACAAATTAAAGGATATTTTTTGGTTGATCTTGTGCCCAGTGTAATAGTACTGCAGAACGAAAGGACGCGCGATTCATTAAGTGAAAGACGCTAACCTAACCGAATAGGTAGAGATGAAGCAAGCAAAGATCATATAGCCTAATTGACTGCAAGTTGAATAAGCTATGACCCTCTTTAGATCGTTCAATAATATTCCAGTGGTTGGCGCAAGGAATGACGTCATCGCTCCTGCAAAAGTAACAACAATCAAAGCCGTATGCGGGTATTCAAATAAAGGGGAGCACCTTGCTATCATGAAAACGCCAGTTGTTACCATAGCAGTTGCATGAATCAAAGCGGATACTGGAGTGGGACCCTCCACAATATCGGGTGACCAAGTTTGCGGTCTACTGTCTGAAAGAGAGTAAACCAACCCGAAATCCAAAAATCACCTACTCGATTGATAAGTATAGCTTTGATAGCTGTTTCAATTGACACAAAAGAAAAATATTATTATGAAAATGATCTTAAACATTACAATATATTCATTAATAATATAAACAAAAATTCCGAAGAGGAGAACGTAAAACGAAAAGAAACAATTTAATGTTAATTTCACAATAAATTTGGCAGTCAAAATAGCCCAAATAAAAAGTCCGAATAGGGGGGGGGGGAAATGGAGATGCAAAGAAACAATTAATGTTAATTTCACAATAAATTAGGCAGTTAAAATAGCCCAAATAAAAAGTCGGAATGGGTGCATCCCCAAATGGAGATGCGAGGTATCGATCCCCGTACCTCTCGCATGCTAAGCGAGCGCTCTACCATCTGAGCTACATCCCCATTTGGGGATGATAATATGTAACATAAGTTTTCTCCATTGCTCTTAATTTTACGTCATAAATATACATGGTGAGGTAGACGGATAGATGATTATATACGTTTCTTAGATGATTCCACGTGTCCAGGAATCGACGGTTTCGACCCGTAATTGATTTTGTTTTCTTACCTTATTCTTGCTACACTGATAAAGTTATATTTATTTTAATTTTTGATTGATTGTAGTTTTGGAACCATATCATTCTGTTTTCTTAATTTAATTTGTTGGCGGATCGTTTCTTTTTTAGTTTGGCAAGTGTTCCTATGACAAGTGGTGATGTTGTCTTCAAAAGTGTTGGACACCCTATGCTTAAGTTTATTTTTATAATCCATCAACTTGAAAAACTGTTTAATTTCATATATAGTTTATTTTTTAGTCGTGCAGAAAACGATGTTTCTTGACAGAAAACTTGGATAGTTTTACTCGATAACAAGATAATTAACACACATACATTACTAGTTTCTTGCGAGTGTTTATTTATATCATGGCCGATCAACCGAA